GATTTTTGACCTTAGACTTAGTTTTGACATGGGCCTAGTCCACTACACCCAGACCATACTCAAAGCAACCTGTGTCAGGTGCAGCCTACAACCCAAGAACAAAAGAGAATCTTTTTGTTTTTGACAGTAGATTTAAAGCTGGTTCTTAGAAACCTTCAGTTTAAAAAGTAAAATAAAATAAATAAATAACAAGAGTTGACGTAACTTACTAAAAAAGCAGCAAATACAGCTAGCCAATCAGTGTTTGTCCTCTACAAATCCCTATTAGCCACAAACGCCCACCTTTGGCCTGTAGAGAACCCCTTCTCCTTTCAGGAGCGGGTCAGGTGCTGTAGTTACCATGCCGGGTCATTGGTTGGCACTGTGATTTTTGTACCTTGGGTTAACGCGCATGCGTGCTGCCGCGGCCTGCACTTCCTGTGTGCTAACGTTCAGTTAACTCCAGCCATAACGATGACGAAGGTAAAGCTGGATTTTGGCTGGATTGTGGAGAGGAGTTGACTTTTTTTTTTTGACGGCAAGCAGGACCGCTTTGTCTAACAGTCCACACCGGTCGTTGGGTGGACCAAAACCGAGTCAACGATGTCGGACTTTACTCCGTGATAATCAGTATTGAATTTACAGCAGGTAAAGCAGGCTATTATATTCTCATTGATGTTTTATTTGTTTTTACTTTGATCACACAAAGTCCAATTGAGTTTTTATTTTTATTTTATCTCTCTATATATATACTTTATTTTCTCTTATCCACGAGGAGAGGCTGACCTTACCACTCGGCGGATCGGTTCTGAACGAGTCAGAGAGTCAGATGGACAATGTGGGACCAGATTTCAGGACGAAAGCAGGGCCAAAGTCCATTTCAGTAAACTTGTTTCAATAGTGGGTTTAATTTAATTATCAGTGTTTTAGTGACATACAATTCGTGGTGCTGAGTAAATAAAAATAAAATAAATCTGTTGCTTTCATTTTTCAACTTTAGTAGCATGTAATGTTTATCAATGTTCTAAATTTGGTTTACATAATTTTCAGCGAGCTGTATGTTGCTGAAAACTTCAGTTTATCTTGCACACAAACATAAATACTGTTTATAATTATTAAACTGTTACTAGTTAGCACATTTTGGTATATTTTAGTGCAGTGCGGTGTGTGTGTGTGTGTGTGTCAGTCGGTTCCTTTAGACAGAGCCGGCCGCAGTTGGGAAACAGCTCTGGGACTACTCACAACTGACCTTGTGATTTTATTTAAAAACCAAAGAAAGTCAACTAGACTTTATAGCTCTAGTCATAACATGTATGTTAACAACAAAACAAAATAAAGTAAAAAAAAAAAAGTTATAAAATCAGAAACACAAATAGTGAACAGTTATTAGTTAAATCATAATGATCAGCAAACTCTTATTCTACAGACAAAGAAGACAAAATATTTAGCGCTATTCCTATGTTTTGTGGGTACCACAATGTATTATCTTTTTGTCTGACAAACAAAGCAGCAGTTTTTGTTTAGTTTTTTGTTTCTTATTTAGTTTTTCGTTCTTTAGCTTTATAAATCTGCTCTCTTCTTAAGTGGGACTCTGTAGAATTGAGATTACCATTTTCCAGGTCTCTGGTTTTAATGTTGGTTCAATTTGGTATTGTTTTTCCCATTTTTCTAGGAATTTTGTAGAATCAGAATGCTTCTGTTTCATAAATCTTACATCTTTAGTTTCTGCCTCAGACGAGGACTTACTGTTTTGACTTCCCATGAATGTACAAATGTAAGTTAGTTATCTGCATTGTGTTTTATTAAAATATGTGTCTGAGTGGCTTAAATGAAAATGCCTCCAGCGGGCCTCCTGCTTTCTGAATCACAGGTTTCAACTGCTGTCAATTGAACCGGTGCCTCACTTTGGGTTCTAATCCCGAAAGCAGAAAGATTTTAGATTCAAAAAGAACTACTTCACCTAAAAAAAAAGTCCTAATGGAGGTTTAAACAGACTTGCTAGATCTGTCTTCCTCCCAAGCAATGTTTCACTCACACAAAAACATGCAGTGTTTTACTCACACAAAAACATTTTATAGCTCAGCACGGAGTCTCACTTTTGGTAGAGATTTTTAAAGTTCTTGACTCTGAGTCTCACTTATTGTTAGAATTTTTAAAGGTCTTGACTCATCCGGAAAGACAGAGCTTAAAACAAATATATATCTTTCCTTCCAAAAAAAACAAAACGTTACGACGAACTTTTGCTTTTACTCACTCTGCTTCTTGTGGCTGGGTGCGAGTTCGGACTCCGTCAATCCGCCGCTGATGGACGAAGGCAGACCTATAATCACTGGCCCAGCAAGGAACAACACCTCCTGGGGCTTTCCTTTCAGGTCGCGAAGGTGACCTGCATGCACGGTTTCAGTGCGTCTCTCCTCAGCCCAGTCAGCAAACAGATATGTTGGAAATAGGGTCACGGCACCAAGAAATGTTAGGTATTTTCTCTCCTACCCAACTTTAAAAAGAGAACCCTACATAGGACAGAGTAAGGTTTTTGGCCAATGCTCCTTGCAGGGAGGGAAATCCACCTTTGGTCTGGAACCAGAGGTGAACTCCAAAGCCTTGCTGTTAGAACTGGCTTTTTATTTGGTAAGAGTGACACATAAGTGTTTGGCTTGGAACACTCTTTGATCAGAACAAAACATCTTGTACAGGTTCAGTTGATTAAATGCTTATTGTAATGAGTTTCTGATATCATCTGTATCAGTTGAAATCATCTGTATCAGTTTAAGGGTGAGAAAAGAAAATGACAGTGCAAGATAGCTGGAATACTTGCTGATGTGTTTAAACTTTGACATGTTTGGTTTTTAACAAACAGTTCTAAGTAAAAACAGCTTATGTAAATACAGACTGATAGTTCCAGACAGGCAGTTTAAAATGATAACAAATTAAAAACTCTTACAATATCTTAGATTTTATTGCTGGTTTTCTTTTACATTTAGTTGTGGGATGTAACTGGGACCCTGAGTACATAATCTCATTCCACCACATGTACCGCATTTGATGCGAATGAAAATAAAGAAATTCTGACTCTGACTCTGGGATTCTTGCGGATGCATGTAAACACAGAATATGAGCCGTGTCAACACAGATTTTTTTTCCCAGGAATCATCATCCGAAAAAAAACTGTTTCCCCCTGCTGTGTCCATGTAAATGGGTCTTGTTTAAAGAGGGTCTCACACGCTCTCCTGAACAAACAACAGATGAAAATCAGTAGATTCTGCAAACATTCAGGCTTTCCTCTGAATCAGGGCATTGTTCCTGACTCCCCCTTTTTTTACGTGTTGGTGTCCAGGTGTTTTTAAGTGTGTGATGTCATCTTCATCTTTGGCTCTTCATAGGGAGATCAAGGTGACAGGGGCCCACGGGGTCTTTCAGGGTCCACAGGCTCAATTGGACCTCCTGGAGCTAAGGTATACAACATGAGTCAGGATAAGGGTCCAAATAAATTCATATAATATTAATTGTCCATTAGAAATGTGATGTCAGAAAGAAATAGACTCAATGTTTACAAATCATTTGTAAAACCTGTGAGCAAACATCAAGTCAGAAATCTGCAGCTTTCATGCAGGAATGTTATTGGCCTTCTGTTCAACATGTATGTAAACTCTGGGAACATACTTATTACACATGCATCAGATGTCCAATGACAATTCATTTGTTTTCTCAAAGTGTCCTCACAGATTTTATTATCTGGTTAATGCAGTCCATTGAAATCCTGGCTTTACTGATAATCTGAAACGTGAACACTTTGGTAAATATCCAATGTTTTTCAGTCAGTTCATCTGGACAGTTTCTTTTTTTGTGCTGAAACGTTTCGCCTTCGGTCCGGGTAGGCTCCATCAGTCAAGGAAACACACAACAAAACTGATTCTTCCCCCAACAGCTTACTCCAAAGTGGAACAAATGAGTTCTGCTTGTGATAAGATGGTCTCTTTGGTACGCCTCCTCCTCCATTGCCAGCCCTCTTCCTTGTTGACAGTCTTGTCAAACTGGTTGAAAACAACAAATTCCATGCTCAATAATCCAGGTATACAATCCAACATTTTTCAGTCAGGTCATCTGGACAGTTTCTTTTTTCTTTTTCTTTTTTTGTCAACAAGGAAGAGGGCGGGCAATGGAGGAGGGGGCGTACCAAAGAGACCATCTTATCACAAGCAGAACTGGTTTGTTCCAATTTGGAGTAAGCTGTTGGGGGAAGAATCAGTTTTGTTGTGTGTTTCCTTGACTGATGAAGCCTTCTGGACCGAAGGCGAAACGTTTCAGCGCAAAAAAAGAAACTGTCCAGATGACCTGACTGAAAAATGTTGGATTGTATACCTGGATTATTGAGCATGGACTTTGTTACTTTGGTAAATAGCTGTTTATTGAAGACATTTTTTGAGAAATAACGTAAGAACCAATCCAAAAGCACCAAAGCCATTCTTTAGGTTTAGTAAAATCAGCATTAACTTTAAATCATCTCTGTAATATTAACTCCACTTCCTGTCCTCGTGGATGTAAACATGTTTAGGATTTACAATCAGTAATTAGTTATTTTCACACAATGCTAAAGCTTTTTAATTGGGAAATGCTTTCCTAAAATTTTAAGAAAAAAATATTTTTGTTATAGTTTAGTTAGTTTTAAACGGTGGTTTTCTTTGTGTGTATTTTCATTTTAAAATACCACTCTAATGGATGTTGTTTTGACTCAGGGGGAGCCTGGCAGACCAGGATCTATGGGTCTACATGGACCTGCTGGACATGGCAAGGCTGGCCAAAAGGTGAAGACCCTGAATAAATGAGTTAACATGCACACAAACACATTGCCACACAAAAAGACTGGAGTCTAGAGCCAAAAGGTGAAAAGATTGTGTTCTTCAAACAAGAACTTTTCAGAAAGGTTTCTTTTCTGGAGATTTTGTTTTGAGACGTTTTTCTTTATAAAATACATTTTGTTGTATTTCTAACAGGGAAGTCCTGGACCTCGGGGACCACCTGGATTTGTTGGAGAACCTGGAGATAGAATAATTGGCCCCAAGGTAACAGAATCAAAAAATAGGACATACTAGAAAACAAGTTTTTTTTCTTTTAATCAAAGAAAAATATCTTTTTATACTAATACATGAAATTGTGATGCCAGACTTCCAGTTAGAAAATGCATGCCACCATTTCTTGTATGGCAGAATGACTTGCCGACAACAGTACTCTGTGTTAGGTAGAGTAGTAATCTGAGGGTGAGAGTAAGGGTTTCTGTCACGAATTGGGGTGGATCGGACAAGCACAGACTCAGAAAAAGGTTTTAAAATGTTTATTTTAAACCGGCGGCGTCTGGCAGGAGGTTCTGGTACTGGTAACGGACCGCTCTGGGGGAGACAGACAGATTAGTGGCTGTAAGTGGACTAGACTGAACAGAGTAAACAAGAATAAATCCACCAACCTTCTGTCTCTGGAACCATTCTGAGATGTGGGTCAGGTGGGCCCCGGTACCGGTCCGAATCTCAGGAGTCTGTAACATGCACATGGGTGCACAGAGCAGCAGCGCGCAGCGTGAGCACGAACAGGTAGTGAGGCTGGATGGGCGAGCTGTGATGCTGAGGGGTTTATGCAGCAGAACTTTATCCAGGGGCAGGCAAGGGTCAAAACCAGAGAGGAATGCAGCCAGGCAAAAGTAAAAAAAGGGGAATCCAAAATTCGTGGTCAAGGAGGAAAAGAAGTCGTCAATATGGTCAGATTATAGGCGAGGAATCTAGTCCGGGGGCAAATGCGAGAACAAGAGGTCATGGGCAAAGCTATGGTTGAGAACTGTGATACTGAGAGGGAATGCTGGATATCTACGGGAAGAACCTATAATTATCTTGCGCCGACTGAGGGGAAACGGGGAGCTTAAATAGTGGACTGAACAGGTGTTGCTTGTGAACGTAGATTGCGGTAGATGGCGGAGGGGGCATGGCGGAGGGTGACAGGAGCTGAATGACTGAAAGGGGAACTCAAAACTAAAGCAAGAAAAAACATGAATGATCTTAAAACTGGGGCTATGGTATGAGGAGTAGAGGCTTGAACAGATGGGGAGGCAGCGGGGGCCACTGATCGTGACAGTTTCTCTAGGACTCTATGATGAAACAGGATTTACCTAATATAGTTTTTTTTATTTTGACTTAACTATCTAGTTAAAATATTTTTGTATTTTTTGCAGAGAAGTATGCACATTTCTTAGTGCAATGAATGGCGTTGCAAATGCAAAATCAACCCTAGATCTTTTATTACCTTTTCTATTTGGTTTTGTTAAAGATTGGAGCTGGCTGCAGGGCACCGGATCCGGAAACCCCCTCCAGCCCACGTCTTTACCCCCAGCTCAAACCTTCCTCAGAAGTGGCAACTCATGCTAACAAATAAATCAATGAGACGTCCATTAAGTTTTATCAATTATATTAAAAAGGCAGAAGAAGATTACAGTTTTACAGCGCTGGACTCTCCAGACAGTGTCGCGCATAAATATAAACACTAGATGCCTCATTGGCTGCTGCGGCGCAGGATTTTCGGCCGCCATCTTGAAACGGTCGTCCTTATTTGGTTAAAGCAGAAGATGTTTCAGCACTTCGCAGCTTATTTCTGTTCTAATCGACGGACTGTTGACGTTAGGTCTCGGGGGATAACTTTTCACAGTAAGATGAACATATTATTGTTAGTATTTTGTGAATATAATATTACTGTACTGTATTTATGTCCACTAGCTGATGTGATGTTCAGTGTAACACGGTGTTCAGCTGCAATGAAGCTGACTGAGATCTGATGACAGGAATATTTTTCTAACGAGCATACTCACTATTTTAGTAGCTTTGGTTCATTATCAAGAGATATGTATCATAATTGGAGTTTTGTTTAAGTTGTTTTTGTATGTATGTTAGTTAAGTATGTTTTTGTGAAGACACAAATCTCCTGTTTTCATTTGGAAGGTTTTCCAAAGAACAAGATGTGAGGAAGAGGAGGAAGTATCTTTGAGGAGGATTCATCTGAGCAGTGAGGATTTTAAACTGGAGGATTTTGATCAAACTGATCAGACTGTCCGACTGAGAGATGGTGTGGTACCATCGGTTCACCTTCAAAGAGTAGAAGCATCATTATAAGTTCATTAGAGTTCATAAAGTTACATATTTTATTGTGAGTCACAAGGTGAGACACCTCCATGTGTTTATATGAACAGGTAACTATAGACTGTAAAGTTCATATTCATGATGTTTTTTCATTTCAGCTTGAAAACTGCAGGACTACAGGAACTCAACAAAAGCTGGAGCTGCTCTGTCTGTGGCCTCTCAGGAACGTGCACGTCACACACACACACTCTCAGGAACATGCACGTCACACACACACAACCTCGGCCTCATGATGTGAGTATTTCTATTTTAAACTTTTATTTTTTCCATTTACTCTTTATTTATCCAGGTAGTCTCACTGAGTCACGAGAACTCATTTTAAAGAGAGACCTGTTTAGGAGCAGATGATGGGGGTTGAGTGCCTTGCTCAGGGGACCAGGGTGGGGCCAATGAGGGTGGAGGCAGGTGTGGGTGTTTCACCTTTTCCACCTCATTTTGATGTTGACGGTACCGGGAGTTGAACCTGCGACTTTCCGATCACAGGCCCATCTTCTAACCTCTGCACCACCACTCCCCCTCATAACATCATATAATGGTCATGGTCATATTAAAATCTCACTGGTTTCCTTCCAGATGTGTTAAACAGCTACTGGTCCCCCTGATGTTTACAGGTGGCTGTGGTCAATGGATGAAAAGCCTGGCATGAACAAGATGATGCTGGAGATCATCATGTGACAAGAGCGCCCACCTTCTAACTGTGAAGAACAAGAGCAGCTCAGTGATTCCCTCAAGGCTCAGTGAAGGTGCTGAGAGCTGCAGAGAGGCTGATTCATGGAGCTTCAACACAGCAACCTCCAAACATGTCCACCCTCACACACATCGTCCATGAAGACACTGGACCAGAGCACAAGATAATAAGACAGTGATGACAACAACAACAATACACATTCACAAATGATTCAGACAATTTTAAGTTTTTTTTAATTGTTTGTTTGTTTTACAATTGAAAAACAGTTTGTTCTCCACTGTTGTCATCACTCTTTGTTAAAATCCAGGTCTCTCTTGTAAATGAGTCCTATTGGCTCAATGGAACTAACCTGTATAAATAAAGGTTGAATGAATATAAATATATACATAATGATTTATTCAACCTTTTATTTATACAGGTTGGCTTCATGGAGCCACAAGGACTCGTTTACAAGAGACCTGCTCCAGACAGAACAGTAAACAATGGCAATGATAAACTACAGTAAAAATGATAGAGATGATATGTGTGTGTGTATATATATATATATATATATATATATATATATATAT